TACAATTGTTGACCATCAGATTTGGAAAGCACTTAGCAAAGTTCACATGAGGAGAAATCCTATAAAGAAATTGGAAGAAAGGACAAAGTGGTGATTGTTCTTATTAAATAACAACACTAACACTCATTAGCTACCATCACTACAAGAGCCAGTTCTGTCCTGGGTGCTGTATGCACAGCATCTCATTATATCCATAATTTACAGGGTAGAATTATCTTCACGGTATTAGTCAGCTAGAATTGCCATAACAAAATACTAAAAATCGAGTGGCTTAAACAACAGAAATTTATTTCTCACAGTTCTGGACACCAGGAAGTATAAGCTGATTTGGTTCCTGGTGAGAGTTCTCTTCCTGGCTTGCAAACGACCACTTTCTCACTGTGTCCTCACATGGTAGAGGGGTGGGGATGATACAGAAACAGAGGGTGAAAGGGAGAGCCAGAAAGTTCTCAGGTGTTTCCTGTTTCCTCTTATAAGAGCACTAATCCCATCACAAGGGCCCCATCCTTGTGACTTCATTTAACCCCAATTATTGCCCAAAGGCCTCATTTTCAAATACCATCACAATGGGTTTTAGGGCTTCCACCCATGAATTGATAGGGAGAGTCAGGGAGGAACAGTTCAGTCAATAGCATCCAATTTACAAATAAATGATGTTTCAAGAGAAGAAGGAGTTCATAACAGATTATTCAGTTGGCACTCAGCAGAGTTTGAACTTGAACCCAAAGTTATCAGACTCTAAGAGAATAATACCTACTATTTATCGACTGCCCACTAAGTGTCATGTGTATCTGTACAACATCTCTATTCTATATGGGAAACCAAGTTTTTCCCATAATTCTTCCCATTTATAGATATGAAAGCTCTGCCCCCAAATAGTTAACCAGCTATTCACAGCCTACCATCTAAGCCTAACATACTGCATAAAATTTATCCTAGTGGTTATTGAAATGAGGCCCCCATCATTACCTGGGAACTTATTAGAAATGCATATTTCAAACAGCAGACCTAGTGAATCAGGAACTCTGTAGTGATGTCCACAGTTTGTGTAACATACCTTCTAGGTGAATCTGATCCATGATAAATTTTGAGAACCACTTGTTTATTCTATAAATTTATTAAAATAACGAATACATTAAAAACTCAATAATAAGTGGTATATCCAGAATTCAAATACAGGTCTGTTTGGTTCTAAAGCCTGTGGCTTTCTGCTACACTATACTCTTCCATCCCAACGTTACGAAGGGAAGATCTGTGACTGCAGAGCCCAGTTCTGAATTCTGCTTTGCCGCTATAATGCCAGTCAGTTCTCCGACATACAAAAATATGATATCTCTGAGAATTTATAACGCCATGTAATACTGATCAAGAAACATCTTTGCTACGAACTAAAAACCAAGTTTTGTGAAATTTTTATTTGGGCCTGACAATTTTGTGTTCCATTTAGCATAAATAAGAAACAATCCAGTATATGGAAACAATAAGTATGGAACAAAGTTACTTTTAAAAACAAAAAAAAGAATTTTATCCCTCTTTGACTAATTTTTTTAAATTATGTTTAATCCATCTAATTGATCATTGCTTTATCTACATGTTGGCTCTGTATAATTAGACCATTTTCCCCCTCTAAGGAAAAAGACCATATTATATCCCTTTATAAAATCTTGATAATTTACACAAAGGGATAAAAATCTGCTTATAATAGAAATGGAGATTTCCATTTCTAATTTTTGAAGTGGTAAATGAAGGTACCTGTTCTCATGCCAAGTGCCTTTTTAAATCATTCACAAAATAAAAGCACTTTGAAAGGGTTATTTCCAATGCAAATATGGTCACCTGCTCGTGTGGTCAATACATCTCTAAAACATTTTATTAATATCTACAATATTAATGAACATGTGCCAGTCACTGCACACAAAGCCTTTTACACGTGGTAAAACTCATTTAATCATCACACACACGTGAGGTAGCTTTTAGAATTATTCCCATTTCACAGATGAGGAAATTGAGAATCAGGGAGGGTAAGTAACTTGCCAGAGCTCCTTCAGCCAGGAAGTACAGGACTCTAGATATTAAGCTTATTAAAGAGCTCTTGCTGCACATTGATTCAGACACTGACGCTTGGCTCTAGATGGATGGACTCAGCATTGCTCTGCATCTGGATTAGTTCCAAAGGTCCATCTGTGAGCCTGCCTGACCCCCGGGATGGGGCGGCGCAGCCTTTGCAGCCTTGGCACTCCATCTGGAGAGACTGAAAGTGAACAGCAAGGTGGTGACTCAGCGGCCTGACTGTCCCCCAATCTCCTGGGAGACAGAGAGCAAAGTGATAAAGGGACAGAGTGGAAACTGTAGTTCTCCTTTCCCTGTTTGTTTTCCATTTGATTCTTAAAAACAGACCTATTAATCATTTAGTTCATGACTTTGGTAATTCCACTGACTCCCAACACATTTGAGTCAATGAAGCAAAAACTAGAAAGTTGTGTGTTCAAACTTCTCAGATGGAAGAAGTAGTAAAATCCTTTGAAAAAACTTCACTGACCAGCAGAAAGACTCATGTTTTTCTGCTTCAGAGTTGTAGATAGATGTGACTTAAGCCATAAGTGGGAAAGCTTTGTGTGATTTATAACAGCAGATATTCTTTTGAGTAAACTTCTCATACTCTTTTAATCTACCTACCAAAAACAAAAGCTGTTTCCAGCAGAGCCTAATGAGGTGAAAAGTGCTTTCCAAGGAAACTGTTGTGTGTGCTTCTTGACTCTGTCCTGATCTGGGAAGTTCATCTAAGCTGAAATACTCTGTGGAGCTGACAGGAAGTTTGTTCAATGACTTTTGCCTTTCACAGCACTGCTTTCCTTATCTCTACAGACAGCTTCCTACTTTCTTTTCTGGCTCCCTTCCTCCTTCCCTTCACACACACTTTCACACCTCCCATCCACTCTGATTCTGTTCATTGATACCATAAAGAACACTGTTAGAAAGAGAGGCACAAGTTATATAACATTTGAGGGGCTTTTAGTGCAGGAATTAAAGGCTAATACTTAGCCTGGCCAGACCTATCATAACATGCCATGTCCAGACTCTCCAAAATGGTGAGGGCCTATTTTGAGTCCCTCTTTCATATCTTTGTCAGCATTTGAGTTCACTGAATATGCTGGGGTCTTCAGATATAAAAAGATCCCATCCTTCCCCTCAAGGACGTGATGGGTTCCCGGCAGGGACAGTAGATTTATGAGTAGCAAAGCTCTCCCTAGTTAATCTGGCCCCAAATGTAGTGTGATGGGTCCCGTACCAGGTTACTTAAGGGTATATGTTCACTGCCTGAACCTTGAAGGCCAGGTTGTGATCCAAAGCCATCATGCCTAGCCAAGGAGCAGGTGTTTCTGAGAACCCAAACCAAGGAAAACAGTTCCATCACACATACACAGTAGGCAAAGAGCCAAAGAATTAGCTTAAATGAAAGATGGGAAGCAGAATGAATCTCTAGAGCTGTCCTGTTACCGCCCGGGAGTGCCTTGAGTCTTAATAAACTCATCTACTCACCAAGCTGGACTTTTGCAAGTCTCTTTGGTCTCTTGATACCTTCCCAGTTTCGGGGTGAGGAGGAAACATTACAATCCCAAGTTTTTCTCATGACACCAAGTGGGTTCATCTAGAAAGCAATTTCCTAGCAAGCAACAAATCTACAGCAGATCTCCCTGGCTCAAGGGTGGTAAGCCTTCTAGTAAAAGATTGGTTTGGAATCAGATCTACTTAAGTCTAAATCCCTGCTCTACCTTAAAAAAGTCACTGAATCTCATTGAGTCTCAGTTCTCTCTCCTATAAAATGCAAATGACATCTACCTCAAGAGTCTACATGGAGATTAACTGAGGAAATGTTATACAAAGCACATGGGATAATTCCTGGCAAACAGGAGGTACTCAATAAAGGGTCGTTTCCTTTCTTCTTCATTCTCTCTTCCCAGGCCTCACAAGAAGAGGAGTGTGGTCTCACGATGACATAAAAGAGACTCTAACAATATTAAACACTTCAGTAGCACCTACTGCATCCCAGGCACTATTGTAAGTGCTTTATATACTTCAGCTCATTTAAGACTTCTCCAAAACCCAATGAGATAAGAGCTATTATCACCTCTACTTCATAAACGAGATGGCAAGTAACTTGCCGAAGTCACACAGTTAGTATGTATGTGATGGGGCTATGATTTGATCCCAGTTTATCTAGCTCTTAACTATAACATTATTAGGAAATAGATAGTAAGAGAGGTGCTAACTGCATCTGGAACTCAAGTACACAAAACAAGCAGTCCCCAAACAATGGGCTCTGTTTGATTTGCACAGTGTTTTAAAAACCAAGTCTGTATTTCTGACTGCTCTCAAAAAAGTTGGAAGATCTGGCACTAGGCAGCTCACATAATGGTGTGGCCACAAGCCATTGACTGGTGGCTGCTGTCTGGACTGAGGTCCCCAGTTCAGCAGTCTCTGGTGCTCACAACTGTGTTATAGAGGCTGCTTCACTTCTGACCCGCACACACATTTGAACTTGTAATCCAGAATTAAGCCACACTCTAAACATGGTCTAAGCCATAAAGACACAAGAATTGTGTTCAATAATGTGTACCCAATGGTTAAAATGTTTGAATGAAATGAAGGGAAAAAAAATGAATGTTAAGAAAGAGGTCTGCATGAAAAGCAATCAACAAACAAGTTCAAACACAACCACATAGAAAATGCCTGGACAAGCCTTTGAGCCCTATGTGCAGAAATTGTAAACCCCTGCTATTCTCCACATCCCCACACCTAAACAAAGACCTGAAAATGCAGGTTTCCTTATAATCCATGGAGCAAAGACTCTTTTGCCTTCAATGTTAAATGCATTTCTCTTTGTTTGGCATAGCTAAAAGAGGGAGTTTAAGTTTTCATGTACTACTTAACCCAAACAATAACATTTCAACTATTTCTCTCTCTCTCTCTCTCTCTCTCTCTCTCTCTCTCTTTTTTAGCTCTTTAGGCCTTAATGATTGACATGATTTTGGAGATCAGTTGGTATGTAGCAAAACGCTCCTAGAAACCTGGAAGATGAGGCAAGAGGAAAACATGGAGCCCTTTCTGCATAAGCCTATGAGAGAAGAAGAATCACTTCAATTTGTAAGTGTGGATCCTGGGGGCTGAAAAACTTACCTAAGACCATACAGCCAGCAAATTACTGACCCAGCATATTCTGAACCCAGGCCTTTGTTCTTTCCAAGACTTCACAGTGTCTTCCTTAGAGTATATCTGCATGAAAATCATGTTTAAAGAAGTGATCTGTGGTGTCACCATTTGTATCAAAATGATATCACAAACTTATTTAAAAGTCTTTATCTAAAAGTCTTCCTAACAGTTATATCTTTGGCCAGGGGAGACCTCTAATATCACACATTAATAACCCTACCTTTGTAACATGTAAATTGTTTTTTGTTTTACCATCTCAGTTTCATTAAACTGAGACCAGAAAGAGCCATCATCTTTTTACCAATTTGTAATCATTTTATTGTATTATGGACCAGCAGCAATACTGATTATATTTACAAATCTCTGAGTGAAATTTTAAAACATTTTCCTCTTCTAATCTCTCCCATCCTGCCTTCTTAGAAGCACACAAAGCATCTCAACCACTCCCAAATTCCCTGTTGGAATACCCTTAATGATTCTGACATATTTTGTTATTCCCTAAACACCGCCCTAAAGACGAATCACTGGACTCCAGGTTCTTCACATTGCCAAGTTGAATAGTGTTCAAATGTTCTATCTAACCAAACTCTAACTTACAACAAAGCCACATATAGTAGATGATGTGTAAGATATTCCGAAAATACCAAGGCAACAGGGAAAAAAACCTGTCATCAAGAGGTCCTCCCAGAACTACTTGTAATGTAGAATAATCATTTTTATCAAGCTCCTGTAACTTAATCATAGCACATGTGTATAGGCATATATCTAATAATATAAATCAATTTTCATTTTAATAATGTATAGCTTACATTTTCTCACATCTGAAACAATTAGCGTTGCCAAATTTAAGATTATTTCTCTACTTTGGACATCAGAACATGCCACAAGGACTTGAGGAATAAACAAACCCAAGAAAACAATCTTAGCCTGCTAAAGCAAAAATTTTAAATAAATTCATAAATCATTTTTAAAACACAATCTTTCCTATTAAATTAGTCATTGCATAGCATGTTATGAATGTAAAAGCAGAACATAGAAAAGGCATTTTCCAAAAAGATATAGGGCTTACTAGGGTTTCCTTTTATGTTAAAAAATGGCCCATGGAAAAGCAGTTTTCAGAACGACCAGGGCATAGTCAGACACCTCTTTAATGGAAGCTTCACTAATCGGCACACTTCTCCTGAACTCAAAGTTTTGAATCCAGACTCAGCTCTTGCCAAAGTTCACTGGGAGTTTTGCTAAGTTTCAAGATGATCCCACCTCAAAGCTCTTTGGAGACAAAGTTAAGATAAGTTCCCCTTAATAGTTTTAAAACCATACGAACATATAAGCAAACTGTGTAAGGCTACATAGAAATTATTGAATTTTAATTTTTTTGAAATACAAACACTTTAAAGAATTCTCCTTCTCCCTTATTTTGTTTTACTAGCACCAAGAATAATGCATAGCACATAGTTGATAATAAATTCAGTGCTTGTACAAATAAACCGAAAAATTCTCACAAGACCAGTAGGGGCAGTTCTACAAATCTCCCTGTAGCCCTGCAATTTTCAAAGGCTTCATCACACAATTCCCCTCATGACTTTTTGGTTCACTAATCCTAAAGCCACACAGGCAGAAAGGAAGGAAATCTCAGAGACCAAAAAGCCATTTTTCCTGTCCATCCGGTCACATATTCTTAAAGTTTTAGAGCTAAAAGTGATATTAGAAGTTGCCTTTGAACAGTCTCATTTCACATGTGAGAAAACTAAAGTCTAAGCCCTAGGGTTAAGTGATTGAGCATTGATCATTCAGCTGACAAGCACCAAAGTACTTCCCGTTATTATTTCCTACATCTCCCCCTGCAGTGACCACCCCCCTACCACCACCAGAGAGTATTTGTAGACTTGGGTATTTCCTTTAAAAGTCTCAAATGACTTTGCCTGGGGTGTGGTGGAGGGACCACAATTTTATTATAATTTACCAATAGGCGGGAGTTTTGTGCCACTAAAAAGTATGTATTGAGTGATCTACTGAATCTCTCTTTGGGGGGAAGGTTTTTTTTTTAAAGCCTATTTGAAAATGAAATATTTCATTGCTTTCAGGTTATTAAATAAATAGCTCCAGGGAAAAAAATGTATCATTGTTTCTTACAAGTATTAAGACAAAAAGGTAAAACTTTCAGTGTGGCCACAAGAGGGCAGCTACAACATTTTCTCCTAGGTCTTCGCAGTTATGAACTATGACAAACTGGGCATTTGGGGGCTCAGCTTGCCATGGACTCCCTATCAATATCTTTCAACTGAATCTCCCATATGTCACAAAACATTCTCTCATGATGTTTCCTGGGACATTTTTTGTTTTGTTTTTAAAGAAATTATTTTCCAACTTCTTTCCAGATATAGAGAGTCCTCTGCTTTAGAACTCTGTGCCAAAGTTACCATCTATCTACAGAGATCTTTGGAGACCAGTAAATTGTTAGGCTAATTTGAAAACCCACAGAAAATGTTTTATTTTAATTAAGTTTGACCCTAGATAAAAATAAAAACAGTAATGATTATCTGATTCCACCACACATAATAAAGCTTGTTCTAAGTGCTTCACAGGATTTGCCAAATATTTGCCTCATTTCAGCCTTCATTCATCATTCCCATTTGCATGATATCCTAAAATCTTTCAAGTCATAATTTATTGTGGAATTTTATCACTAAGCTAAACAGTGGGAGGTCTGCAAACAAAAAAGCAGAGATTAGTAATAGCTACATTCCATATTCTTATAGTTGCACAAAAACAAATTCAAACTTATTTCATCTTTTAGGTACATAAAGAATGGGGAGTTAATTTGAAAAGTGCCAGATTTTATATGTATATATGTTCATGTGTCTGTGTATAGGTATGGCTGTGTGTTTATACTCATTAATAATTTTTTTGTTTTTTCACTAATAACTATAGGTCAGTAGTTTGGATATTTCATATTGATGTTTATAGAATTTGAAGATGTACATAATGATGTATTTCCTTCACATTTACCATGGAGCCTTTCCCCTAACCATCTTATTTAAAATTACAATCCTTCTCACATCCTCACCCCACATACCCTGTCCTCATTTCCTGTTTTATCTTTTCCCTTATCAACATTTGAAATACTTTATATTTTACTTGGTTTTTATTAGTCTCCTTCACAAACACCCCCTCCCCAACTAGCATGACAAAGACAAAATTTTTTCTATTTTGTTTATTGCCATGTCTTCAAATCTTACTTACAACAGTGCCTGACACATCAGAGGAACTCAATAAAGCAGCAACATGGTAAAGTCACAAAAATTGAAGCATGTTTACTAGGAACTGATATTTTAAAATCTCTGGCCTTACTAATTTACTTCCTTACATTTAAGGAGACCTCCTAAAAAGAGATAATAGCCCACTAATCAGAATTGAAGCATGTTTCCTAAAGCAAGTATCTGAGACAATATTTGGGCTCATGACTATGGCTGAGAGTATGCTCTTGAATCCTCAGACTCAGCAGGTCCTGTTTCCCAGAAGTTACTCAGACCTGGACTGAATTCTCAGTAAAGGTGGCCTCCAAGAGTTGTGACAGCATCACACTAGCAAAGCAGTGGGATTAAGGAAAGAGCAGTGACCTATTGATAAGGAGCCCATAGTTCTAGTTCTGCCGCTGCCACTAGCTAGCCAGGAGTAAAACTATCCACTTCAATTGTTAGTGCCTTAATGTCCTCTAAAAGATAATGGATATAACACCCCGCCTATATCAAAGAATTTTGGAATCCAGTGAAATGTGAAAGTATTTTGGTAAGTATGGAGTGTTTTTCAAGTAGAATATGTTATTCAAATCAGTGTTTCCTGTACTGTCCTATGTACTGCCACCATTTGGTGTGGCCAATCCACAATTTAATGGTTTAATTAAATTACTCCGACCGGGCGCAGTGGCTCACGCCTGTAATCCCAGCACTTTGGGACTCCACGGCGAACGAATCATGAGGTCAAGAGATCGAGACCATCCTGGCTAACATGGTGAAACCTCGTCTCTACTAAAAAAATACAAAAATTAGCTGGGCATGGTGGTGCACGCCTGTAGTCCCAGCTACTCGGGAGGCTGAGGCAGAAGAATTGCTTGAACCAGGGAGCCAGAGGTTGCAGTGAGCTGAGATCAGGCCACTGCATTCCAGCTTGGCAGCAGAATGAGACTCCGTCTCAAAAATAAATAAATAAATAAAATAAACAATCCTAGGCTGGATCCAGGTCTATCAGTCAAGTGATGGTTTGTCAGACCCTTCTTGGTACTCTAACCCCTAGGCCCTCTTCTTGCCACTGTTAGGTTTATTTGACCCCAGAGGCTCTGCACATCCTGCCTCTAGGATCAATTCTAAGTAAAAACAAAAGACACTTAAGGGAGCTCTATCTCCATAACAAGGAATTCACATCATGTCACAGTACTTAGTTAGACCAGCCCTGATCGTGTAACCCAATGCTGGTAACTGGGCATCTTCTTTCTTCTTCTTTGGATAATCAGATCAAGAATTTGTCTCCTCTTGGAAGCATTTCACAATAAGTATTCAATAAATATTTGCTAACTGAGTGACAAAAAAAGCCTTTATGCCAGTGTCTCTCTTGGTTTAGAGCTCTCTTGATTTAGAGGTACTTGTCAGTACCTCCTTTAATCCCTTACCCCTTCACTCCTGACTGCCTTCCCTGATGCTGTCTTACCACCAGCAGCCTACACATGAGAGCATCAGAAGTACAAGGTATGTTCCTCTATTCCTACGGCTACATTCAACCACCTTTAGGACTTCTCACTTCTCCCATTAGACTCTGTAAAGCCAACTGCTTATCTGATCCATGCTTGGTTGCCATATCCAGTGGATACCACCTTCTATTTGCCAACTGTCCTCTCTCAGGGTCTAAAACAGGTCTCTATCCTTGGGGCCAGACTCACTTTGTTCCTGTTCCAGCTCATGGCTCATCCATACCACAGGACCCTCACTGGGTTAACTGCAAGAATGCTGTTTAGTCATGCCTACCATGGCAGAAACCTGACAGCACACAAAACAGTGCAAGTAATGTTCAACTTCAAAAAATGTTCTATTCCAAAAATATGCTTGCAAATAGATTCTTTAGCACTTGGGAATGCATATCTCTACACCAACAACCCATATACTTCAATAGTCATTCCTTCAAAAACATTCACTGAGTATCTTCTTACTTTGCACTGTTCTTGGCACAGGAGAAGAGAAAGTGAGACACAGTCTTGTTCCTCCAGAAGTTCACAGAAGAATAAAGGA